TGTGGCTCGCATATAGTTCTGTGGCTTGCAAATGGAGCTCAGGCCTGCGATAAAATTTCGTTATTTTAAATTGGATTATTATTTTGATCTGCCGACGCTCTTTCATACTTTGAGCTGAATGTAAAGAGAAATAAAAAGAGAAGCAGAACCATGAAATAGTTTACAACTTTCAAATGTTTCACTGTAAACCAGAATCAGAATCGACCCAAAAATGATTTCATTGATTTTGATTTGGGTTAGTTCGAAGAAAAATTGTTCCGGTTAAAATCATCAATCATCAGTCCCATCAACACATCAATCATCATGTCCAAAATAAACACTGAATAATGAACATTGAACACTGAACAAGGGGGTCATGTTTTATAATAGAGGTGGCAAAATGTGGACCCGGGGACCCGGTCTATGGAACCGGTCTGGACCCGGATGGGTCCAGACCGGGTCCCCCAAAATATTTGGCCGGTTCCAACCGGGTCCTATCATTTCCCTGTGCTTTATGGTAAATATTAAATTAATATCTTTTATGCTTTGGCAAACATAGTCATAGTTGTTGCAGTTTCCAGTTCATAAGTCCCAATTCCACTTTTGAATTTTAATATTCCTGCAGATTGGGCTACCTATTCTATAGCATACTGGTCAGTCTTGCTTCAATTTCTTATCATGTCACCTACAACAGAATAAACAAGTTCTAAGTGCTAGCAATCCAGAAAACATTTCACCAATGTTTGTACGGATCACTTCCATTCAGTTTGCTGTACAAAACCTAGCAATATTTTGAGCTTTAGAAATCAAATACCAATAACATATGTACCTAGGTAAGTAAGTATGACTGAAATCCATTTATAAATGGACACAAATCCAATTGAAGCAAGGCTGACCAGTGGCATTCTCACCTGCCTTTTCAAAGACATTGACATTCCAAAGTCACTATGCCCACCGGAAATCAGAGTTCATGTTTGATATTCAAATGCATTTCATAACTCAAACAGCTTTGCAATTATTTCTATCACGGCCAGAAGACAACTCATAAACAGGGGCGTCGACGCGCAAGGAAAACTGGTCCGACTTTTTCTCGGGGGGCCCCCACCGGTGGGGGCCCCCAGGTGTCGCGAGGGCCCCGCGAGGCGCAGCAGGGCCCCCGCGAGCCGCAGCGGGGGGCCCCGTTGCCGCAGCAGGGGCCCCCGTGGCCGCAGCAGGGCCCCCCGAGAGCCCCAACAGGGGCCCCCCGCGGCCGCAGAAGGGGACCCCGCGGGCCGCAGCAGGGCCCCGCGGTGTCTAGCAGGGCCCCAGAGGCGCAGCAGGGCCCCAGAGGCGCAGCAGGGCCCCCGCGGTCTCTAGCAGGGCCCCGCGGGCCCCGAGCCGCAGTAGGGCCCCCGCAGTCTGCAGCAGGGGCCCCCGCGAGCCACAGCAGGGCACCGCCTAGTCGAAAAAGTGGTCCGACTAGTCGGAAAAGTCGGACCGGTGTCGACGCCCCTGCTCATAAAACCAACAGGCCCTTTCATAAATCCATAAAGCTTGCATTAAGCTAAAAATGAATCCAAGGCATTCTCCAGAAACCGTAGTATTGATCAGATTTTTAGCCAACTGGCGCCGCATGGTGGCGCTAGCAGAGCGTATTATACATATAGCGCTCTACTAGCGCCATCATAGGGCAGCAGCTGGCAAAAAAACTGAGTCAATACCAATGCCCTTCTCCAAGGCCAATGATTCCGTGTTGATGTGAAAATGGCGCATTTGAGCGTCATATATGCTATACCTTACGCACGCTAATCTACTGCATAAAGGTTACAAGTTTGGAACACGTTTGGGAAGAAATCAGGTAGGTAAGTCTCAGAACCCTTGGTATTTATTCTATATCTAGGTACTAACAAAAATGTAGTTTGTTTTCTACGTTAATAAATTGGCGCTTAAGTCATGATCGCAAACTTGCAGTACTTAAGTTTATTGCCATTTGCCATTACGATTTTGCAGTACTTTAACCCCAACAAAATTTTGCAGTGATTTAACGCCTGTTTTGTCCTTGCATTGCTATCGTGTCGACATTTCTGGCGGACCTCACAAAGTTTTGATGTTTCTTTGATTTTGATTGTTTTCTCGTTTGGGACGCCGGTGAAAACAGGGCGACGGAGGGCATATTAGTCACGTGACATTTGGAACTTCTCCCGCTCCAAGAGCCTTCTATATGCCAAACGTCACGTGTAAATTTCACGAACCTTGATCAAATCGCCCCAGGCGCCCTGTTTTCACCGTCGTCCCTCGTTTGGGGCCTTGGATGGTTGATAATATTTGTAAGGACTAATGAATTAATTCTAAAAACGAATATCTTTTACCAAGAATATTAGAAAAGGTACGTATCAGTATGTTATCTTGTTCGATGTTGATGTTAGGTTCTGACTCTGGTGGAGGCACTGCTCCATGGATCCCAGTTCACATCATTTTTAGCAGCTGTAGTAAAAGTGGCTTAGGTTAGCATGAAAATCATTGGTCTACTTACTTCTTATATTCTTAAATATGACCTGAATCTGGTTCTAAAATACAAACTGTGAAGCGAAGTGAAATGACCATGGCATGGGTTTTTTACTTTGCAACACAAGTATGCCCATTTGGAAAGAAACTATTTTCTTCTTGCTATACCTACAACTGTACACAATTTTCATAATGAATTTCGGGAACGGGTCCATCTGGTTCCAACGCTGACTTAGACCGGGTCTGACCGGTTCCAGAAATGTGCCAGTCAGACCGGGTCCGGGTCCGGGTCCCAAAATTTTCCAGTTTTGCCACCTCTATTTTATAATCAATAATGCGGTAGGTACGTCACCGTATCGAAGATGAAGTTCTCCAGCACGCCCTCCACGGCGACTATCCGTGTTTTTCATGTTGATTAATAGTCATTCACCGCGTCCACGATTTGAGGACTATTCGGCCAGACGCACATAATTCACTTAACCATCTCCAATCACTATATCGAGCGGCACAAACCACACAGCGGCCACCAGTCACCAGACATTCGTCGTCACTCGCAATCGCACTCCTCAATTCACCCTCCTTCGCTGAGTGCTCGAGCGACAACTGTCTGCGTTTCAAATTTCCGCGCTGCTCGCGGCCAGTGACGAGCCCCCTCCTCCCCCCCCCCCCCCTAGACGCAGGCATGAACTTACGCAGGCATACGGGGGTTCGTCTCCTGTCCTGCCATCTGATTGGTCGAGAGCAGAGCTTCGTACCGATTGTTGCTAGGGGGAGGGGAGGGGCGAACCGGTGACTGGGCATTCATCACCCCTTAGGGGCCTTAGCAACGGCCGGCCACCACCATATATGATAAGTACGTCACATGATATACCCAATTATAGCGCTTCTAGCGCAGCGGCGTAGAAACATTATGATATCGGCTGAGCATTGCCATGGAAACTGGGGACGATGCGCTGTCATTGGTGAATTATTTCCGCCATGTCGGGAGCATTGTTTGTGAAGGATGCAAAATCTAACAGTATCAATAGACATTAGGCACTATATGCCGCGGCATAAATGAGCGGTACGGTTCAGAATTTAGGTTCGAAATAATGCAGTTTGGATACAGCACTTAACCCGCGTCCCTTTTGGGGGGAGGGGGGCTATTCATAGCCCCCTCCCGGTTTTCTGCACTAACTTCCAAACCGTTTGACGTATCGACGCCAAACTTTCAGTACCTTCGGGCTCGGCTGCGTTCATTTCACGCCTTGTGTCAAAATATGAACTTCGTAACACCATAGGTTGGCCGGAAATGACGTCAGAATGACGTCATGCTCTTATTGTTCAGCCAATTTCGATGCAAAACATTGAACCACGGCAGTCGCTCTCAAGAGCTAAGCTTTTAAGCTAGATCCAATTTCTTTGCATGATAGAACTCAGAATAGACTGCGCTATCAAACTGGCATCTTGGATTTTCAAAATTTTTGAATTTTTGAAAATTAGGTATGTATAAGATAATTCAAAATCCATATTTTTATCTTTTTCAATTTTTTTTACTTTTCGAAGAAAAAAAGGAATATATGTGATAGAACACATACTTATTACTTAGAGTAAGTAAACTTGCTAGATAGCAAGTTTTGGCCAGGTATCTTCAAAAATGGCTAAGTTATACGCATTATAGCAAAAAAATCAAAATTATAAATTTTTCAAATATATTTTCAGTACGTATTTGACATCGTACACCAACATAATTAGCACCATCGTATTCCTGAGCTCAAACTGCATCCGATAGATACCATTTTTGTTGAAAAAAATGTAAACTAAATTTGACCTTTTTTGACCTGAAAGTGGCCTGACCTACGCTAAATTCAACTCAAAATGACCTCGAATGGCATAAGTGACATCGAATTCGAAATATATAGCCTAAATTGATGATAAAGCATGTGTCACGTGACCGATGCATGATATAAGGTTTCCGTGACCTGTGATGACCTGACCCTGACCTAAATTTCAAAGTACAAGGTTGGCACCCTCAGGGTATCTAAAGCATCTCTTCACGAGTGTGTAAACCAACAATGAACCTGATCTGACTTGTAAGATGGCGGCCAGAGCCCAAAATGTGAACAAGCCAAACATCAATAATTTTTACTTTGGCCTGACCTGTGATGTCATCGGTGACCCCGAGATCAATAATGAATTAGGTTTCGTTCGACAGTTTTTTCCGGGGCTATCAGACACCGTTTGAACTTTGACGATCGGCCCAGCAGTTTCGGAGTTATGAGGGGGCTATGAAGAGCCCCCCCCCCCCCCAGTAGGGCGCGTTATTCACAGACCCCAGTGGGGTGCGGGTTAAGAGAGCTTTTATTTCCGCTCATTTTCAAGCTGAGCTAAAGGATGACATTTGCCATCATGTTTCAGGCTCGACTTGGTCCCGTTCCCTTTTTCTTTCGCTGCCTGTGCTAGCTGGAGATTCACAAGATCAGCAGCGTTCGTCTCTCGGGGGTTAGACGTGGCAACGCCATTAGCTCTCTTCGATGATCGATCACACCGTAAAGATAGGTACAGTAAATTCAAAACTGACAGCTGGCTGATGTGGAATGTTGAGTGAATCATCTCTCGTGTTCTCGACGTCTTCAGTCTGCGGAATGTGACGAGCGGTAAGCCCATGTAATCCGGTGTGGTAGAATTCCCACGCACACTCCCGTCTTCAAGGCACCGACGCCGACTCCGTTCTCTACACGTCTTGTAACGCGTTGGAGAACGCAGCGGGATCAGTCGGGGCGGATCTTGGACGACCCGCCGGGCCTAGTTCCGCGCTCGGCCGCTAGATGTCACTGGCGCGGGGTGACCCGCGGCGGGCCGGCCGGCCCAGCAGAAGGTGCAGTTGCTCGCCATCGACCCCCGACGCAGCATGCCGGTCACTGCTCCGGCGCACTGAAGAGCCCGGTGATCGCCCCAGTGACCTGACCGCAGTGAACAGTGATGTTGGTCTGTCTCTGATCAGCCGACAGAAGGAAGCTGGCCGGGCGACAAGCAAGACGAGGCCAGCGGGAGATTTGGACACATCTTGGAGCTAATGCATAAATAGCACTTCAGCCATGGGATTCTTTAGAGGTGAGTTCGGAGTCGATGATCCCATCGGATATACTCTGCGTCGTTCGGTGGGCATTCTTACCGCCGCAGCGACAGCTGAGAAGCATGAGCCTGACTTTGGAACGACGGGTGCACTATCAACATTACAAACGGCGCTTTTTACCGAAGAGATTGGAGTTTGGTTACTTACGGTTACTTAAAAACACGTAAGTAAGTCATTCTATGGACATAAATGTCACTGATACTTATGTCCATAACATGATCGTTACGTGTTTTCAAGTAACCGTAATGCCTAAATTTGCCAGCCTTCTTCAATTTATCACCACTCACTTGAATGTCTTTTTATTCAACAATGAGCATTAAGCATTGTCGATGGCTTCTGTGACCCCACGACCCCACTGCTTGAGCATGTTCGGGAGTTGCAAATGACTTTGTGATTCCACATTCCGTACGTCGGGACTCGCCTTCGAATTTATACGGCGGAACGCCAGCAGAAGTCACGACAGTCACTGACGAAAGTCACGCTCTATTTGAGTGCAGCCAATATGGTAATCTTCTGCACACGGAACCGCTGTACTATCACTATATTCGCAGTTGCATTGCGCATTTCTATCTAACTACTATCCAAAAGCTTTGGACTGAAGGTATCACTTAGTCAATTCTTGCAATACGAGAAGGGAGATGAACAGCCGACCTTTCGATTTGGTATTATCACCCCTCCCTCCCTTTTAGCCTCGGCTGGGTCCACCAGTGCTTATCCACCACTTTTGTCTCACGCTGACACCAAGGCAGCATGCGGTTTTCATTTTTATCCCGTGCAGACCCATCTCTTACCGGTGTAGCGGTTACTGTCGAAGCTCAGGGCCTCAGGTCGGAGCTCAGGGTCCGCTCTGCTCAATTTGTGGCCACTGCGGGACATCTGAGGCCGCGGAGGCGCCCTTGGAGGGTCTGGTCTGAGCGCTCTCCACGCCGGCCACTGACACACTCGAGAGCAGGTGACCTGAGAAAGTCCTGGACCAAGCAGAGGGACCATCCATCCAAGCTGCTTGGACTGGAGGGTCATAGATTGCTTTCAGATGCTGTTCTTTTAAACCGTCCTCGCTTGAGCCACTCTCCCATTGAGCTTTTCTCGTGAGCCATCCTCGTGAGGAGCCCTCCTCGTGAGCCGTTTGCCCTCCGTGAGCCCCTCTCCATGGGCCGTCTCTCCCACAGATCGTGCACGCGCCAGGTGCCGTCATCGGGCGTGGAAGTCCCGGTGTCAGGAACCTCAACCTCCTGACCTCGACCCCGACGGCTGGTTTTTACAGCGACGGGTTTTACATGAGCTTTGTCTCAGTGTTCAGTAACGTTTGTGCAATTTATACCTACTAACAGCGTGGAACTTTCGCTGTGATAAATTATCCCTCGCCCATGTAGGGGGGGTTGGTGCAACCCCCCCCCCCCCTGAGGCTTTTCGGAAATAGTGCAAAAACGGCGGCGCGCAGCGCCGCCAAATTTTGGGTACCTTATGGGGCAAACCTTGCGCATCTTTTGATAAAAAAAATTGACCGGGTCATGTCAGGTCACGGAGTTATGACGTCACAAAGGGAACAGCCTCCGGCCGGATTTTCACAAACTGAGTGCCAACGCCCGAGGTTTCCTGCCGGTGGTACGGACATCGGTTGATGGATCGTGATGAAACTTCCCATGCATGTTGGGGCAAGTATTGGCTATCATATGGTATAAGAAACTTGACCGGGTCAGGTCAGGTCACGGAGCTATGACGTCACAAGAGGAACAGCGTCCGGTGCTATTTTTGAAAAGCGCCCGAACCACTATTTTGCTAATTCTTGTCACCTCAATGGGAATATGCAGCAATATTAGCTTCTATAGGGAGCAAATGGGCCTCCCAAATCCAAAAATACAATCAGATTTCAAAAATTTAAATTTTGATTTTTCGAATTTCTGCCGCCGACTGTGACCTTGCCGACTTCCGGCGCTCCCAACGCGCCATTTTTAGAGCTAGGGAAACGAAATACATACCAAACGATAGAGAATTGATCAAGGAACATGATAGTTAGGGTGGTCCATTTTGAAAAAAAAGTTTCTAGGATCCGTCGGGCCGGGTCGGAATTCTTGTTGATACCATGACACAATGTTGTGTGCAAAATTTCATTCTGATCGGATAAAGTTATCCCGTCCCGCAAAGCGGTCAAAGTTTTCCCCTATGTTAACAATAAGGGGATGGGCGATAATACGGATTCTCCCACTCAGTTCACATTTTTTACTCAATACGCACTGGCAGTCACTAAAAAAGAACAGCAAAGGAGAGAAACACATCAGAGTGGAATAGGCATTGGTGAAAATAGCCTATCGGTACAGATTAAAAGACGAAGTCCACCACGCGAGCCATCCTAAACCAATCTCCCGCCCGGATGCAACGCCCAGTGAAGTTACGCTCCTCTACCTGAAGGAAGTGCTGTCATCTGTTCCTTGCCGTGCGCGATGGCGCTAAAAATTTGCCGCTGATGGGGGCAACAGTGCAGCATCCGGCTCCTGCAAAGTCGTTTACCACCCATATATGTGTCGGTCGCCGACGAGCAGTGGTCAAGTCGTCATTGTACGACCCCTCGGCCGGGTCCACTTTGAGGAAATCGCGACTGGCCCCGAGGGCGGTGCCGAGACCAACATATGCAAAGGACGCCAGCGAGCACCGCTCCACTGCGTCGAGGGCGACGTCGACGCGGGAGGGTTCTTCTATCTAAGCCGCTGCTGCATGGAGGTGGCGATCGCCTGCTTTTCCTCGACCGCTGTCCCGACGCCGAAGAAGGAGACCGATGGCCTTGAGACCTTGCCTATCACCTTTCCCGGTTACCTTCCGGTATCCGTGTGGTAAGCGGCGAGGGCCTTTGGGGAGGGCGATGTCAGTTCCCCATGCTGAGGTCGATCAATGGGCAGACAGTCAGTATGCTACCTACCTTGTGACGATTAAGGTGGTGAACCGGACCATCGTCCTCTTCTCGTGCTCGGTGAGCACGAGCTGGCAGAAGAGAATGATCTTGAGAGTGTTCATCACCTTTGCAATCCAAAGACCACGTTGTACATAAGGCAACCGGTTCCGGATGCTGGCCTCAAAATCACCGTCCATCACGACGATGGTGAACTGCACCACATCGCGGCAGTCATCCCGGGGCCGCTGCTTCATCAGCAACGCGCATCAAGTGGCGATCATCTTGTCGGCGAAATCGATTAAGTAATTGAGCGGGACACTCGTTCCGTGAGCTGCCACCACTTTACAAACCGCTTGAACGACGGGATCTCGGGAGCCCGGGGCCGGAAGATGATGGATGGTGAGTGCCAAGTGAAAGAGGCGCCCTGCACTTGCTCGTTCGTAAGAGACTGTTTCATCCAGCAAGGATTTGCTTTTTTCTGGCTGCCAAAACAAGCCACATTTCGGTGATTGAGCGTGTGCCTCTTGCAGCTGCAGCGGCGATCCCAAACGCAGGCAGAGCCACAATTAGCGTAATGCATATCGCACCTCCTGGCATATAGTGGCTTGCTACTGGCACTGGAGAACAGGAACTGCAACAGGAATTGTAGATTATCGTTCCTGTCTGTGGCTGATAGGAAGACTAGATCTATCATTGAGAAGGCTAGAGAGGGCTGGTGCGATTAGCGGGCAAGCTCATTGGTAGATAGCCGCTGGCACGACTGGGCAATGTTGAAAGACGAATATTCTCCCTATACTAAAGACTGGTAGGTATAATGGAAACTTTGACCGCTTTGCGGGACGGGAAAAAATCATCCGATCTTAATGAAATTTTGCACAGAAGCTTGTGCTATAGTATCGACAAGAATTCCGACCCGGCCCGATGAATCTGACGAACTTTATTTTTTACCATGTAAATGTGGACCACCCTAATGATAGTGAAGGTTTCAAGTCGATATCTCCCACCGTTTTGCCGCAATCGCCGCGGAAAGTTGAAAAAAGTCTATTTTTCCGAAAATTTGACCTTTGACCGGTCAAAAGTAGGTCAAATGTTGACCTAGGACCAAAAAATATACCACCAATCGCGAGATCTCGGCGAGAGCAATCCGTTGGTCTTTTCCGCTAAGCTCTACGACGCTCCGTTTTCAAACGCCAAGGGGGGGTCGCACCACCCCCCCCCCCCTGCATGGGCGAAGGTGGCAGATCGCCGTTTACGGGCGAGGGTTATACTATGAAATGCTTGGAGATCGAGAATTGTTTGCTGTTGTTTAGCATTCCAAATTTTACGTCGCTGCTTCTCAGGTGTGCACCGATTTTCTACAGCAATTCTCGCCTATGTAAGCATAAAATTGAATAGTACGAAAAGGGACACCAACTCCCGTGCCATGCAAATTTGGCAGAACATCCCAGACGTGTTTCGCCATCGGCAGCTCCGCTGTTCTAAACTAACAACCGTATCCAGCGCCGTGCGTGACTGTTGACATTCAGTCTGTAACCGCTTTTCTGCAGTCTTCACACACGGCGTAAATTACTGACAAGTGTTGCAGCTCTTCTGAATGCTTGAGACGAGGTGTTAGTATCACTGATGTTAGTTGTCGGACTTTCGTCCCCGTCTTGTGTGCATCTCAACTCAAGACGGGGACGAAAGTCCGACAACTAACATCAGTGAAGTGTTGCAGCCTTGCAAAGATGCTAGTCGCAAAAACAACACTTGCTAGCAATTACCACTCGCTTTAGTTGTCCTCTTCCTGTGGTTTCCGTTGTACTTTGCACTTTGCAGAATGGATCTGTGCCCCGTTCGGCTGAAAATGTCTCTGTTGTTCCACAACGTATGCGTCCTACCCTTGGATTGACTGTAAGACCAAACAAAGCAAACTGCCTTGTTTCGCACCACACAATGTCCATCTAAGGAGGGAACAGGTAAAAGCTTGAGACAATTTGAACAGCGTCTAGGAAAGTTTTTGTCAGCAGCTTCAGTAAAAGCGATTTATTAAAACAAAGACAGGAAGCCACATATTACTTCCACAACGCAGCAAATGCTTAGATTATTGCA